CAAAACCAATAACTCATGGTTGTTAAGAAAAAGAAATTTAACTGAACCGTTAAAATTCAAAGCGTGGGAAATATCCCCGAAAACATCAGATCGCTCTGAAATGCGTGCTGTAAAATCCCGGAATTGTCCGAAGTGGCTCGGATCCGTGGGAAACGAAACTGACGTGGTAAAGTGACGCTAGATCGATGTGTAATTAGGTATTTTACAGACGGGAGTTGAAAAACATAGTTTTGTTTAGTTTGGGTATGTTCTACGCCTTGCCTTCTTAAAGTGCCTAATATGGTATTTTAGAGTAGGTAGTAGAAAGAGAATACTAAAATGTTGTTTTAAGTGGCAAAATTAAAAGACAAGGTGCTTTTGTCAGTAACGTTGAATTTTTAGTTTTAGAGGAAGTTTGGAAGAAAATTTTTTTTCTCTTTCAACTTCTTCAACATTTTTTGTTTTTGTTCGCTGTTTGTTTTACACAATCTTACAAATCCAAATAAATATAGGAAAGGAGTTTCCTAATTACAATCTTCGAACCGTTCCATCAAATTTTGATCCCTAGGTCCATGGGTGTCACTAACAAGGATCAAACTGGTTTTTATCGTCATTTATTACTTAATTAACCGTCACTGTGTTACTATGTTTTATTATTTTTATTTATTTATTTTGGTTTTCATTGCATTAAAAATTATTTTTTTCTTAATATTTTTTTTTATTTTTTTCAATAGGCTCGGGTGCTCCTTTATGACGTGCTCTTTATAACTGCCTGGAGTTATAACCCGCCACTGTTTAAACGGATTAAAACGCAACGGAATTTAGCAAAAAAAAAAACCCTTTTCAGTTCCACGAAAACCGAGGGCTATCCGATAGCTTTTTCGCGTAAAATGAAAACGCAGCATTTTCGGAAATTTTCGATATTCCACTAATCCCCTTCGCGTCGCATTGTCCGTAACAATCGGCCATTGAAAATTTGACGCGGGCGAGAGACCAATCGGGGCGGAGCGGAACAGAAAAAAAAGGCACTAGATAAAATGCGTTTTTTAATTGGGTTTGCATTTTTGAAATTTATGCCGCCATATTTTCGGCCCGTATTTCGGGCATGATTGAACGGGTTCCGCAGGAATTTATTGGAGGTACGAGTTTGTCACTGATAAAAGAATTAGTGCCGAGCCGATTCGAAAAACCCGGTCGGAATTTCGGGAATTTAATTATGTTGGAATTTGGGACAAAAGGTGCCGGCGTATTCGATCGGCTCACCTATAAGCGCATAATAATATCCACTTGTTACGTCCACATGTCAGGAAATTTCTAAACAAATTCTCCACTCTCACATTACCAAACAAAAAGGAATAAAACCAGATAAAAACCTAAGTTCCCATAAAATATTAGGAAGTGAGTTGGTTTGACCTTCTTATAGTTACAGAAAATACAAAAACTGTTTTGAATAATTTTGAATAGAGGAAAAAAAAAGTAACAACACACACAGTAACGTAATCTCCCATTAAATGCACATGGACGACATTAAACTGATTTCGGCAACAGACAAGAGTCTGAGGCAGCAATTAAAATTAGGAGAAAACTTCTTTAATGTCACGTACAGAGGAAAGTGGAGAGAGTTTGGGATTCTCCAATAAGACACACCTGCTTAGGATGACCTCGATTAGCTGGCTGACAACTGGTAACATATTTCCAAGGACCAAGGGTTTCGGTGTAGGTTATACCCATTCGATCCTATCGAAAACATTCTTTTCAACCCGTACTCGAAGATCAATGGTATAAAATTTACCACACAATAGACCAGACATTCTGATCCACGACAAAATAGAGACGACCATTACCATTGTGGACAATTGCTATTTCTGTAGATCAAGATAATCATACAGAGGAAAAATAGCGAGAATAAGGAGAAATTTCTACCACTGGCGACGGGCCTTAATCTGGATGTTTTTTTTATAATAATAACAAAGTTAACTGTGATCTATTTGATACCCAATTAATATTATTCCAAAACAATCAAATAATAATAGACACAAAAATGCAATATTTCTTCGCCTGCTTTAAATGATTTGTGTTCATCACGGAACACTAGAAATCTCGGGACGAATTTTTTAAAATATTGGTATCCGTAATTTTAAATTAGCAGCCAGCTTCTCCAGGAATAAGGGACAACATGGAGGCAGTGCCGTATACGTTAAGCAAAATCTGAGAAGCAGCGAACGCAGGAAAATTGGTGAGCGATCAGTACGAGGAGAATTTGAATGTGCTGCTGTGGAATGCATACTACAAAAAAAGAAAATCGTCATCGTATCAGTTTATAGACCTCCTCAAGGACAATTATATCTATTTTTAAGTAAACTAGAACTGATGTTGACCCTATCAGAAATAGACAATACTATAGTGTTTATTGCAGAGGACTTTATTATTGAAATGTTGCTAGAAAAAAGTAACATGTAATACTGGAATAACACCCAAATGTAGTTGGCTTTTAGTTTAAAGGAGGGGGCGAAAATAAATCTGTACAAAAAAGATTTTTTACCGACGATGTCTACAATGCCGACTTCTTAGATGTAAATTTGTAGTGGAATAGAGCTCATAGCAACAAAAAAAAAAGAAAATCTAAAATGGATTAAACAGAGATTAGATATACTGTTAAACCTTGTCAAAAATAAACACTAACTACAACAACCATAATCCTAGCACTTTTAGATGCGCAAAACTTATATTGAAAATTGTCATATATATAATAGTCACTCAATACATCTAATTCCTGAAACACAAAATGAAATATTCGTAACTTCAGTGAAATTAAAAAAACAAATATAGCAGCGGCTATGACTAAATCCCGGCTAGTGTAGTGAGACCATCGATTCCAGTAATTCCACAGGTTTTGTGTTACTTAATGAAACACTCAATGAAGCACGTGGTGTTTCCAGAGCAACTAAAATTAGCTCTAATTGAACTAGTTTACAAAAAAGGAGACTTGAAAGATCTATCTAATAATAACTATAACGATAACTATCGACCAATTAGTTTTTTACTCAGCTTTTCCAAACTGTTTGAAATGGTGATATGTTCCAGATTAGTTGAATTTATGAATAAATGTCAATTGTTCTCTAGCTCTCAACATGCCAACTTAAAAAAACAGATTCACCAGTTCCGCCATTTTTCAGTTCACAAAAACCATCTTGGAGCAGTTTGAGGAAAAATACTTAGCCATAAAATTTTATTGGATAAAACAGAGAGATATGGGATTCGTGGTAAACACTCAATTGGATACAATTATACCTTTAAACGGAAAACAGCACATCATCGTCCAAAGTAAAAACAATATTACAATATACAAAATCTGAAATCTTACAAAACAGTACAGGGATACCACAGGGTAGCATACTAGGACCAATTCTTTTTATTTTTTATATAAACGATCTACCAATGGGCATAGATAATTTTTTAATAACCAAATATGCGGATGATACAAATATTTAAGTACCTGGAGGAAATCTATTGGCTGTAACAAATAAAACGAAAAATGCATTCTAGAGAATAAAATCCTGGCTCATACAAAACAAACTAATAGTCAATCCTAATAAAACAAAGGTGATTTTATTTAGAACAATACAAAATCAAATGGCCCAGATTCCTGACTACCTACAAATTAATAAAATAAATGTAGAATTTGCGGAGAATACATAGTTTTAAGTGTTCACATAAACGAACATTTAGAATGGGAATCGCATATACGAACAGCATGTACAAAATTAAATAGGGTAGGTTCTGCAATTAGAGTTATCGGAAGGTATATGAGAACAGAAGCTTTAAGAACTGTTTACTGCGTCAAATTTGAATCTATTGTTCTGAACTAAAAAAAGCGTTTATTATTCAAAAGAAAACCATAAGATCGATGAGAAAAATGTAGTACATTGACTCGTGCAGAGGACGCTTTAAGCAACTACAGATAATGATCGTGTGTGGAGTCTCTATTTACGAATGTCTAATATTTATATTTAAAAATAGAAATGAGTTTAACGCAAACATAATACACAGAATATTATGGTACCTAGTCACAGACTGTCAACAACAGAAAAAGGACCGTATTATATGTGCATCAAGATATTTAGCCATCTACGGAACTCTGTGAAATGTAAAGCACTATTAGAAATTTACATACCATACCATATACACTTAAAGAATATTTTGGTTGATTATATTAATTAATCGTTGTCTGTATTTGACGTCATTTCATTTGTACTTTTCTTGCAAAGCATATTGAAATAAAGAAGTATTACTATTATTAGTATTATTGATTGATATATTCCAGAAAGGCCGCTATGTGACTCCGACTTCACAAAACGACGTCCTGGTTTAAATTCGAGCCACGAAGTGAGTCACTGGTCGGCACAACCGTGTTTTCGAAGTAGACGAAGAGATCCCAGCAGTACCGCCTTCTGCATTTTGCCCAACAACACTTTCGTAATTGGGCGGCACGAACGTATTTGGTGTAGTTCTCGTACTGCGCTAGCATCTATTCCGTCCATTCATCCAATGATCAAAATCACAAGTTTTACTGTGTGCTCCGCATAAATTTGTCTAAGGTTTTCTAGCAGCTCTTGATATTTTTGTCTATTATTATTATTATCATTATTTCTTAACAGAAATTCATTTTGTTTTCTCATACACACTTCATTCATCCCACGCACTCCTCCCCCTCCTTCGTTCAGTGCTTGTATAACTTCTATGTTTTCTATTTTATTAATTCCTCGCAATTTCTCAAGGTAATATGATTTCATTCTCATCTTTCAAGCAATACTCTCCCTCTTCATTTTCCCACCTGCAATATACCAGTACTTTTCTTTCCGTCTTCATTCTAACTTATCTTATTTCACGGTTCTTTTGTTTTCTCTAGGTTTAGTTGTATATTGACGTTCTTGTCCCGTGCACTCAGTGCCTCATTCATCCGTATTTCTGTCGAACACATTTATCGACTTACCCGATAAAACGCTATATTTTAATTTCAGTTGCTGTCCGGAAACACAGACACGTTTACCATTAACGAGCAGAAGTTGGACCCTCCGGTATTATCATCAAAGCTACGGCTCTTGCCTTACAGTGACCACGTTCGAACCGCTTGCATGAGGGTGGAGCTGATTGGATGCGTTTGGAGAGGTAAGCTATAATACCATAATAGTTTTTCACCAGTTTCGATCCCATTTATCATTAGAACATTAAAGAAAAATAGTCTGTACTCTTTAACTTAACGCTATCTCTGAACTTGAGCAATATAAGGAGTGCTACCCTCTGCTTTCTCATTATTGCTGTTAGATCAAATAGTCTAGACGAAAGGTTGTAAATCTTAATCCCAGTCGTTTCCTTGACGATAAGAGAAGGGAACCAGGTGAACAATTTTTTTCGTTCGAAGGGCATTATTTGCACCGTTGCCACAAGCCCCGTCTGCGAAAGTAATATTTCAACCAATTAATCAATGTTAAGGCTTCAGGATGCACCTTGGAAAAATAAAATCGGTTAAAAATTGCCCGCGGGCCGCGATACCAAAAATACACAATTAGTGTGTATTAAAATTGATGTTTTTGAGGTTATGTTGATTTATTGCCGGGTCGCTTATTGGGGTTCGCCCCGAGATCCTTTTAAAAGCAACACAAAGGGGAGAATAAGGAAGGAAAAATGGGGTATATTGAATTGGAAGGGTATGCACGTATACGCTCGGTTTTTCTTTTGTACATAATAAATGTTTGGTCGTGTTTTCCCATGCCGACGGCGGCAGTTAACCCAGACGATGGTATCTGGTCGGGAACGTGTTGCTCGTCTCGATTACGCGACTCTATCGTTTGTTAATTTCGTTGTAATTGCAATGTCCGGCTTTGCGTGGGAAGCCTTTTCGACGATGAGTATGCGCTACCTGTTGTTGTTTTTTTAACGCCATTGTCCGATGTATATGACACTACTTCTCTAAGTGATATTCTATAACCGGAAGGGCGTGCTGAATAAATAGCTCGAGAAACAGTTACGTCTTTATTCCTAGAGTGTGCTAGGATTGAGGCAGCCGAGGACTCTTGGCCGGCAATCAAAAGGCATCTAAGAAGTCACCTTAACATCGTGGAGGATATATTTACAATAGGAAATAGTAACAGAATCTCCTTTTCTTCAACTTGAGAAATTATTTAATCCCCGCATGAAAGAGGAATTGAGGAGTTAAGAGAGATATTCGGAAGTCATTGTTCCAAAGGTATGAATGCCGCTCCATGCTTAAAAATGACATGAACGGCCCGCAGTGAAGAACTTTGTTTACGCCAGTAGGCAGAAAAAGTATCGCATCACCTTCCTGGAGCAGTTCTCGCCATTTCTGGGATCCTACAATTGTCAAGTGTATGAGAGCGAGGTACTTCAATTTTCTTTTTCTAAATGTGAGTTTTAACGCCCTTGTATATTTTCCGCAGGACTCATTGTATTAATTATGTAGCATTTTGTATGATAGACATCTTCTACTATATTTTTTTTATAATCTTGAAAGTCTAGTTCTACCTTATTATTATTGTACGACGCTGATACGACTAGAGCAGTGGCGTGAGAGTTGAGTTTGGGAGAGCTGTAAACACCAAAATCCTTGGGCTTAGTTTTTCAAAGAAGAAGTGAACAATAAGTAAAAAGGAGAGTGAAGAAATAGAACGATCGACTCCATAGCAGATAGCATCAGTAGAAGGGGTACATAACTTCACCGTCACTCGATGTTCCCCAACAGTTTCAAAACTAGTCGTAAGATGGCAGCACAATTCAGATTTTACATTGTATAGCGTCTCGTCTTTACGTCTTACATTTGATTCAAATTATTTGTTTATCCACCTAATTAAATGGAAGATGTACAGGGAGATCGTATTTGGAGTGTTTTGATCGGAAAACGCTATTTCTGAATCAGAAAAGGCAATACCGATTTACATGTCAAGGGTGCAACTTTTGAGAAACATTTAATGGGTAAACTCGCATGGCGATATCTTTACTCCAAAATTTTTTTGGAGTCAGATTTTTTTTTACAGTTCTCGTTTTCTGATACATGAATACAGTTTTTTTTATTCTATATAGCAATTATAGTCGGCTAATCGGATTTTTTGTTTATGTATTAATAGGCCGTGCACATAACCGTCAACGGCAGTTAAGGGCATAACTTTTATTCTTTTTCGAATTTTGATTTTTGTCACACATAATTTTAGTGGCCGAGCTTAAACTTTTAATTCATATAGTAATTTAGAATGTACTAAAATTATAAAAAGTATGATATGATAAATCGTGTAATTGAATATAATTCGAGAAGTATTGGAAAATAAGAGCATATCCTAACTTGCACTAACCTACACAACAAATGCTGGAAAAAGTGAAGTTCTGATTGCTACAAAAAAAAAAAATTCAAGCGTTATCATTCAAATGAATGAATGAATTAAATAATTCAGCGAGAATGGACTGTTCCGGAATAATTAACAGATGCAGCACAACAACCTTATTTTTTTAATAGAAATCTGACAAGATGGTTATATATATATATATATATATATATATATATATATATATATATATATATATATATATATATATATATATATATATATATATATATATATATATATATATATATATATATATATATATATATATATATATATTTTCGAAACATGGGTTGTTCTATTTTTAGAAAACTTGCCATTGCTCAGATCGCACGGATTGTAAGTGAACTTTTAAATGAAGAGTTTGTTCATTGCTGGATTGGGTTTTTTATGGGGGAGGTTAAAGGATCTAATATATAGGATAAATATAGAATTTTCCAAACCAAAGCAGAGTTAGAGGAAGCCACTCGAGAAGCGTTTACTTCCATCAATCATATAGAGTTAGTGAATAGTTGCCATTCAGTATGAAAAAGTCGCGTTCCGTTTATTGTTTATTGTTTATATTTATATTAAAATATTTTAATATAATTAATGGAAAATGTTAAATATTATTATTTTTTATTTCAATATTTATAGTTTGTTTTTTATTAGATTAACATTGTCATCATGTGTTTATTAAATTTTTTGAAAAGTTTCTATAATACGCTTTTTAAACAAAAAGTACCCTCTATACCCACCTTTTTTCATCCTAAATACCAACAAATCTATATGATTGAAAAGGGCTCGACACTGGCATTTTTTTAAGACCATAACAAACAATGATTGCCATATAAAATAAGAAAGTTGTATTCATTTATGATAAATCGGCGAGCTGTAGAAAAAATTTGAGTACGGACTTTAGAAAATGCCACAATAATATTTTTTTCCGAATCCAAAATAAATAAAGTTAGGGTTAATCTTCAAAATGGCAGAAAATTGAGAAACACTCTATATCTCGGTTGGTAGTAACTAGATCGCCACGCGGTTTTAATCATTAAATGTTCCTCAAAAATCGAGTCATTTACATGTAAGTCGATTTTGCTCTATTTAGTTCAGAAATAAGTTTTCTTCTGTTAAAACACTATAATACGACCACCCTGTGCATGCGAACTCTATTGGTCTATATATAATTTAATCCAGACTATGTTCCAAGCACTACACACGTAGTCGCGTAGCTGTGAAAGAGAAATAAAGCCGCTTGGCTCTAGGTGCCAAGCGGCTACAAAAGTTATGTGTTTTGTTCGGACGCGATGGATGGTCAAAATTTTGAAAGTGGAAGGAAGAATGTGTAGAATGACCAATTTCGCACAGGAAATTTCGATCTTTCTATAGTTTGTGTAGAATTAGATAAGAAGAAACTTCTGCTTTGTGTCTTATAACACCGGTAAGACGAGCTAAAAGAGAGGCACTCGACTTACCAGTATAACATGGTGTTGGGAACAGAATCCAGGAAACTTCTGAACGATTGGTCGAAGGTGTCACCCACGTCGATGTATAGTGCTGGTTTTTCGGTGTTTCGACCACGCAAAAGTCACCTCAAGGGAAGGGTAATAACTGAAAAAAAATGGAGTAGAAATAGTTGGGAGAAACAAGTTTATAAAAAAAAACTTTCCTTCTGCTGATGAAATATTAAAGAAAGTCCAGGAAATAATGGAAAGGCGTGTCAGGACAAAGACAGACCTGCTAAGCCACAAGAAGGTCGGAGGAATAATGTTAGGTCAACCGAGAGGCCACTTTCTGCTTTAGAGGCATCTAAGCACTATCGAGAGTGCGTTTCCCTCAATGGGGCTGACCAAACCAGACGTAAGAAGGTTGCTTTGGAAAACTCGTCGGTGGACGGGGCAAGTTCGTAGCGTGCAGCGCGGACGGAATTTTTGTCCTTGAGGGACGCATTGTTTTTCTATCGTGCTTCAGCGCACCACTATGGAACTTTCGCAAAATGTATGTAATTTAATTGTGCGTGCACACTGTATAAAGTGTCTTGAATTTCAAAGTTATGTCAAACTTTGGTAAATATTAAAATTTGTACTAGTAATTGTGATTTAAAATGATATTTTGTAAAATACCTCGCCCACCCATTATTATAGACGAAACATGGAACTCTTTCGATGCAGTTTACGATACTGTTCAAAGCAAATTATCCCATCTTTAACGGTTTTTTTTACACAATTAACACAATTACACAATTTAACAATTTTTGATTTATCATCAATAATTTATTAAAAAAAAGGAAATTTCTGAGATCTTTTAGATTTTTTTGCCTGGTATATGAATTTTTCCAATAGAGTAAATGGTTTTCTGAAACCATGCAGTACGTCGTGAGAGTAAATGACGTCATCGCGTCTAAATTGCGGGTGATTTTTGTTCAATTATCTCGAACAGCCTACGTGACAACGAAAACCGTAAATAGAAAAATTGTAGCTATCGATGTAGCCTATAACACTGTTTAAAATAATTTACTCTGGAAAAGGACAATTTTCAGGATCTTTTAGATTTTTGTCCATAATTGAAAAGCCCTGTATATAACCGAAAAAATTCTTGAAGTAAAAGTTAGTTCTAGATTGCTCGTTAAAAAATATTGCCGATCGGAATAATAGTTTTGGAGAATATAAGATTTTTCTGCAAACCAAAATAACCCCCCCCCCCAACCCAAAAAAAACTTTGACTTATTTGATCGCGCCCAACTCTTACTTCTCTGCTAAATGTGATGTCGGTAGCTGTAAAATTAGGCGAGGT